TCAAAGGGATCGGTGGCTTCGGTAACCGTGAAGCATAAGGCACACTGTGTAACTGGCTTAACCGCGTCGCTATGAAAACACCGCTTAAACAAAGTATTAATTGTTAGGGTTTTGTTTCAATTAATCCTTTTTCATTGTTTGAAACCTTTGTTGAACCAGTTTATTGCATGTTATACTATTCAGTTACTCAAAGTAAAGTTTTGAATTTTATTTCCTAATCTCCTGCACACTTTCTTAAACAATGAGATATTGCTTTGGTTGGACATGAACACCAGCTAAACAAAACTGAATAGTTTTGAATTTTTTATTGTTAGGTGGATATTAGTAATGTGTAACTTGTTTTACTAGATAAAATAATCATAATTAATTCTCTAAAAGCTAGAAATAGAGACATTGATTCAGTAATAAATTTAAACATACCATTTTAACAAGATGTCTGGAAAACCATTTTGATGGAATTTCAGAAATTTAGTACTTGGGTACACCTACATCTTACTACAACATCTAAGTGGACCATAGGGAAAATTGATTATTGTCCAATTTATCATAACGTAAACTTGAGAACTTTCAAGCAATAAAAACAACTATGACGTGTAATGCTATTGATACTCTGGTTTATTGCAATTTTACCATAAAATAGATCATCAGACACTATGTGGAATGAATGCATGTTTATTTATGTTTCCATTATGCTTTTATTAAGCTCTTCTATGCAACTGTTGTCACAGAGTTATAGTTGTTATTTTAATTTTCAGAGAATGATAATCTTTGGAATTTTTTAAATTTAAATTTTAATTTGTTCAAAGATAAACTTAATTTAATGCATATCTGTGACAGCAAACAACCCTAGTTTGATACCATTTCGTTCACAACTTGAGCCCTCCCAAATCTATTTTCTACTAAATTAACGGTTTTCCAACTTTTAACGGTTGTTTATTGGATTCAAAGCAGTTATTAACAGTAACATCCACTGAATGGCTTAATTTCTAGTTGGGATGCCACAGGTTGTGAACCCAGTTCCGCTGTGACTTTATCTCAAACTGATACTTACTTTCATGTTTTTTCCCCTAGTACTTTCCTGAATTTGCTGCCATCTTCAGAGTGAGTATCACGGCTCTTTGAGACGAGCACCTATATAATATTTCATGGTAGCATTCATCATAACATTTGTTTAGCTTTTGCCCCTAAAAATCTATAGGAAGAAAAGGAACAAAAAAGGTCTGTACAAAATTATGAGGACATTTATAACATGGAAAATTGATTTTAAGGGTGGGGTATGAGTAAATTTTAAATGTTTAACCGGAACCTAGTTCATAATTTCTTTTTTTCCTGTTGATTAAATCAACTAGATTGTTAACCCTCCGAAGTGTCTATAGTTTTTTGGAAGATCTTTTTTGATAACGACCAATATCTGACCAAATTTGAAAAATATGATGAATGTTTCCAGCTTTTAATAAAGTTTTACTCCACTACATATTTTAAAATTACATAGCTAATTTAGTTTATAATTAACCAATCTAAAAGCATAAACCACACAATTTTTAGTGTCAAATAAAAGGTCACGTTTATTAAAGACTTATATTTTAATTTTTGAGGTGTTGCCTTCCGGATTACTTTTTAACCCTCCGAATGTTAAGCGTCGTAAACACACCCGCCGTGGTGTTATGCGTCGCTTTTGCGACTCACAAACACTGTTTACGGCGACGGCTCTGGGACTGACTGAATCGGATTGAACTGGATCGAGTTAGCTATAGGTTTTTTCAGCAGATTCAGAGCTTTCTCCTGATGTCTGTTCCTAGACGCTTTTCATTTTAGTTCCGAAAATATTGTAGCAGACAGCTGACGTGCGTATTTGTAAACAGCTTGGTTAACCTCGCACCGATGACTGATGTGTTTTATTACATTTATCATTGTTTTAGTGTTAAAAATCAAGAGTAGTGATATATGTGGTGCATTATAAGAAGATTTAAGTGATTTTGAAGGGCTGGTTGATGATCCTGAAGAAGTAGGTAGTGATATTGATGTAAATTATCAGCCAGATTCCTAGCTATGGTTAGGCTATGCATTCTTAGCTAAACGCTATGTACCGAAATCTGTTTTTGCCCATAACTTATTAATTTGCAAACCTACTTCCTTATATTATTATATTTTTGGAATCCTCATAAAATCCTGAACAAAGTGGCTATTTTAAAATATTTGTAGACCTATAAATTATAACAATTTATTGAGCACAAACATAAATTTTTGTCATTTATTTTATAATTTTTGAAAAAATTTTAACCCCAAAAAAATTATTGAACATTGTTTTAAATGTTTTATATGTTACATTGAAGCCTATAATTTTCCAAACAAAATGATATATAAAACAGTATACTTTACATTGTTTTTAAGTTTCTAAGATACATTTTAATAAAACCCTGCGATTGCGCAATAAATGGGCGAACATTAAGACCAAAACTATAGACACTTCGGAGGGTTAACAATAATATTCTAGAGGTTAATTTGTTGCCAATGTAATCCATTGGTCATCTGGATAGCAACCGGTTTCGACAATCAAGGTGTCATTGAAAAACCCCTCGCATTGTTTTTATCAGCTCCATTGTCTTCTGATAATTTTTCTATTCTAGATAATCCTTCTGATAATGTCTGAAAAGTTTGAGTCAGACATAATTTACGAAACAGCTTCATTCATAGAAAGGTTTTTAGAATACAATGGAGGTGATAACAACAATGCGAGGGGCAGGAGGGGAGGCGAAGAGACCTATACCCGAATCCACACCCCACCGTAATCATTAGTGTTGTTGTATGGCTATACTGTATTATTTATTCGTGAAAATAGTGTCTCGCGTTTTTGTTGTAAAGACATCTTGACGACCCCCTAGGAGCGTCAACACATCTTAAGACTTAACAATAACACCTTGAGTGTCGAAACCGGTTGCTATCCAGAAGACCAATGGTTGGCAACAAAAAAAGGTATTAAACCTCTAGAATAATAAGATTTATAACTTAAACTCAGCCAGTTGCATATTCGTACTTGTTTCAAATACTGTAGATATTTTGCAACTGTTAAATATAGTGTTAAGTATGAACGAATTTAGATTTGTAGATTCATTAGTGAATAAAATTATGAAATCTGAACCTATAAGTGCATTTTGTATTAGGTAAACTTATCTTCAAGATCGGTGATATAATATTGGCCATTGATTAGATAACTGTAAAAATTCTTTCTTTAGTCACAAACTTACATTTCTTCAATCTGTGAACAAAAATTCCCCCATAACCATTTCACAGGCTGAACTACTTCTCAGTGTTTGTTTTACCAAAGTCTTAAAAGTCACTGGAAAGCTACAAATTTTAATTTAAAGACTAATAGTTATGGCCTCAAAGAGCTTTATTTAAAATTTGTATCGGACTTATATTAGAAGCTACAATGAAACAGAAAAAAAACTATGAATTTGACCAAAACAAACAGAAATCTCACATTCCATTCATACAAATTTAGTAATCAACTAAATCGTGGACCGTGGTTCCTGAAATTCATCACTATTGTTAGGTACACATGGAGATAACTGACTTTACTCTTTAATATTAAAAGCCACTGACAAGTCTCAGAATTTGCTGAAGGGAACTGGTAGACATCCTGTAATAACCATTCATGTGTTTACAGTTTGTTTAATCTAATTTTTGTATGTTACAGTGGCTCCCAAGGTTGAGAAGACGTATTGAACAGAAAACAACCAAGAGGAAATTCTGGCTTCCAGTAGATAATATTTGTGGAATTGATTTTATAAACTTGGTAAATTAAAAAGTGATAGACAGTAATCTGTCAAAACCGTTGACTTCCCAGTTTAAAGGGGTTTTATGTAGCGGAGTTAGGAGGTGTGAATTAGCAGCTGAGTAAACAAGCATTTGAGCAGCGGGCTGCTTGATGTTCATTTTTTGATTCCTTGAATTCCGTCGATTCTTTCGACAATTCCTGCTTCACCCAGTGAACTAACCTTAAACTTCGCTTTCTTGTACATATTCTGATCTTTATTGTGCTTTATCTCTTAGTATAGGGGCACAGATACATACATTTTAGGGAACAAGACAAAATATGAACAATTTGCATCAAATGTAATTTTTAACCTTGTACAAATTTTTACTACAAAGGCTAAGGCATCATTCCTTTCAGTGTCAGAACGCGCCACGCCCCTACCTGGATCTTGTTATGTACAGTATTGATCTTCCTCATTGTTATGGGTGTTTTGTAAAGAGCTAAGTTTGTCACATTATTTTAAAAAATAAAGTCTTGAACTGGTTATTTCTTTTATTGTGTTTTATTTCAATGTATGCTACCTTTGACTATTATATAGTTGCTACCTTTTATCATCCAGGAAATTATAATTTTGAAATAGCTTGACTTGTGGAACAAGAATACGCAGTGGTTAATATTTTAAAGTCATCCATTACTACAAAATTACTTATTGTATTGATTTAATATTAGTCAATGGAATTGATGGAAAATCAAATCGGTGCACTTTATTAAACACTTCATGAGTAATAGCAAACACATGACATTTTTTAAAGACAAATGAAAAAATTGTTGTATTATGTAAATATTTATTTTTATTTACCAAGCTATATGTATTCATTTTTTGCACTCAACCCTTGATTTATATTTAAAAAAATTATCTTATGAATGGCAAATCAGTAAATCAACTGTTAATATATTTGTTGAATCATACCCGGACAATACAGCAGTAAAACACTGATTTTGCTAACCAAGAGGATAAAACAGCATTTTGGTTCTTCATCTAGTTCAGGGTCGGGTCACCAGTTGATCCGGTTATTCCAACAGTTTGCCTGCTGATGTCAGAGTGACTGTGTGATGGTGACCTGTGTGTACTCAAGCAATCAAGTTTCACAGATTCAATTAAAACTAAAACTGTTCTAATCTTAAATTGTTGTATTCAAAGGAAGTATAAACAATTACCTTTAGGTAAAACCTGATATACTTTTGGAATTTTATGCAAATTATCACTATCATTTTAGAATCTCTTGCAGAAGACAAAAGTCCAATCTTGTATTTGATTATTTGTAAAACATATTATAGTTCTTTCAGTCTTTGTCTATATTCTTGAATCAAGTTATTAAGTTACAGCTTAAAGATGATACATAAATTAATTGGATTTTACTATCTAAAAAAAATTAATTAGTTTGGAGTTACTCTACCAGTGTCAGTGGTGTCCTCTATATTTTTACAGTGTGTTTTTCAATCATTAAAAAAACCTAACAGTACGGTAAGTAGAGTTTTCAAGTAGTAAAAGGGTAGCCGACAGTTGCAATGGTCGCAATACTTAAAATATTTTTGATACTACAGTATAATATGATTCTGTTAATAAGTTTAGGCATCGAGTAATTGAATTGTTTTTCTGGGAGTTGGAGGGGATACTTGATATTTGAATATATATTACCTTATTTAATTACCATTAGATTAGTAATGTTATTATAATTGATTGTTATATGATTAACTAGCTTGTACCCGCGGCTTCCCCTGCGATGGTATAACCAATATGAAGCAGAAAAAGAAATAAACAGAGTATTATAGTATAAACCAATAGAGGTGGCTTGTGAGTGAAAATTTAAAAACGTAAGTTTTCATGTCCCTGGCCTTTTACTTCGTAGATACTGGATTTGTAGTTTATTATTATGTGTTTTAATATTTTTTGGGACGGGGGCAACATGTTACACACATTTATTTGGTTTTAAATAGGTTCTAGGTATTTTTTTTGTATTTTTAAAGTCTCAAAATTCACGACCATGACGTGTCCCTAGGGTACATTTTCCAACTTTCACGCTGTTTTTAGACTAATTATTCATGCCAAAATATATAAAGCCATATTTTTATGTCATCAATGGTTATTAAACTTACAAAAAAGGAGCATATTATAATTTTATTGTCATTGCAAACTGACTACCATGACAAAATAAGCCTGTCCCTCGATTTGGCGTCACGACCATTTGGGAAAAATTTTTAACTTTGGAGTACGACAGTGGCAAGTCTGGCGTCGATGGAGTCAGTTGGTTTTTTAGAGACTAGTTTGGGGTGTATACGTCAGGATTGTAGTGCCGGTCGTTTCGAGTTGAAAGGAGGAATTACAAGATTAATAAAGGAAAGATTGTGTTTTTTGTAATTTTGGTGTGTCCATGACCGTACGTAGTCATTCAATGAAGTAGACATGGTGTTAATTTTTGTTTATAAGATATTTCAATTGCTAGATTAACCTAGAAGTCCACTTTGTATCCTCGAACATGAGGTGCAGGGCTACCACCAGAAGAGAGCCAAATAACATGTAATTTCACGACCAAAGTTTCACGACCATCACGGGTTTTTTCACAACCATTCCAGCCTTATGGATTATAGTGTGTTTGGTCGTGACAATAACTTTAATATAATTGTAAACTGAACAGTTTAGTTCAATTGAAACACATATTTTTATTATAACTAACAGTATAATTGAAGGATTGTTTAGAAAGATTTAGATTTTTTCAGAAAATTCACGACCGTACCGCTTGTCTCTGACCATCACATTAACGATTTCTATCATAAAAATTTCAAAAATTAAAATATCGTCATATTTCAATGTTTTATACACAAAAGAAGCACACCTTTATACAAACCGAACGATTTTTCGGGTCTCAGGTAAGTTTTTTCGGAGTTATACAAACTTAAAAAGATTTTATTGGTTTTTTTCAATTTTTTGAGTTTTTTTATTTTTTTCTAGAAAGACCAAATATACCAAAAGTTCAGTGACCTTTTTATTGTATAATGGTCATAAAAGTAAATTAGTTTATAGCAAAACATAGTTATAAAAATAATATTAACTATTTTTAATATTCATTTAAACGTCTGTTATGGTTGTGACAGGATTTTGTGTTTTTCCTCTAAAGATGCTCTTTTTAAAAAAACTTTCAAAGATATTGCGTTACCATGGACATTTTATGAAACTTCAAATGTTAATTAAATAAAAAAAATAATAAAAGTTTTGAAAAAAGGGGAACAAAATTTGCAAAGTGCTTTTCCTGAAAACGTACGTTTTTAAATGTTCACTCTTATATGGATGCTTGGCAGTGACCACAATATCATTATTTATTGCCAAAAACATAGTTTGAAAATATATCACAATTGAAAAATGTAAAGTAGTTTGAAAGAAAACAAACACACCACCTTATGAAAATAAAAACTTAAACATAATTGTAAACCATTATACTATGACAATTCTCATTGTATCACATCTTTTTGTTATTGTTTAGTTCAAAACACCTGTCAATATTTTATTTTTGTTTATTGGTAATGAAAGTCAGCGGTATTTACTCAGGGGAGGTATAGAAGAGGCTACGATGACAGCTGAGGGCTTCTTATTAGCTGAGGGAACGCCATTACCGTAACAAAACGTTCAACAGCCATCGGCCTCGATGGTCTATTGGTTAGCGTGCCGGGCTGATAAACTATAGGTCCCGGGTTCGAAACCCACTGGTAGCATTAACTTTTTGTCCAAGATTTTTTTATTATCAGCAAGTGTGGTTGGTTTGGTTTGGTTATTACAGCTTAATTTTAAAATTATAAAATTTTAATTGAGCAATTTCTAGTTTTATTTAATAAAAAGAATTATTTTTCCGATTACTAAACTTTTGTTATATTATTTCTTTATCAGCAAGTTTGGTTAGTTCGGTTAGGTTATGATAGTTTAATTTTATAATTAAAAAATAGTAAAATTGAATTTGAGGCATTTATAATTTTATTTTATGAACAGAACTATTTTTGCGATTAGTAAACCTTCATTGCCAACGTGCTCTCTACTACAGCGCAGTTCACAGAGGAATTTTGAACTAAATGCCTCATTTGTACCTCCCCTAAGTCAGACCCAAAGTCAGCAAACCTAAGTCACTGTTTGCTAGTAACAATGTAAAGCATGTGTTTACATGTTTTTGGTAGGTCTGCAGATTTGCTGTGGGGAGGGGGTTTATTTTTTATTATGTTACCATTTCAGATGTACACCTAAAACTGCTTTCTTATGACTGTTCTGTGTTGTAAGTACATCTACATGCTGCACTCTGTAGGTAAACCTTATAACTTTTTAATGCTATTGTAAATCATAGAACCAACTTTTTTAGTTGAAACAGCTGACTAAATTCTTTAATTCCCTTTAAATATGAATACTCATAAGGTTAACATGGGGAATTACAGAGCCACTGGGGCGGAGCCCAAAAGGATTTTTGAGATAAGAATATGCCTATATGTTAATCGGGAATGTAAGCTATCATCATGCCAAATTTCAGCCCAATCCGTCCAGTGGTTTATGCGTGATTGAATTTCAAACTCACAAACAAACACACAAACTTTCACATCTTACTATACTAGTATACTAATATTATAAACTAGGTGAAACCCGTCGAAATCGACTGTTACTTTCAAGGCTTACGTTAATTCATCTAACTGCGATAAATTGGGTGAAATATACATATTTTGAGCATTTAGCATTGTTTAAATAGTAATAAGTGTAAAAAAATAATGATATTAATTGCGTTAGTTGCCAAATTTGGTTGATCATTCAATGTTAAAAATATTTCCTATACTGTACGTCATCGGAGTTAGTTATTATTAGTATGTTATATGGTATCTCTTCCTTTGGAAGAACCTTTAAATAGTATTAAAATCCTATCGGTGGATCTTTTGTAGTTAAACACTTCCGTGATTTCATCAGTGTAATATGATTTTATTTGAAAAGAAAATATGTTTTGGGAAGACATATTCTAACTTCAAAGGGAGGCATATCCGTTACAGTGTAAGTTTGATTTTTTCCTTCGTCACGTCGTGTCAGTTCATATCGCACTTCTGTGCCAAAGAATGAACCCTCTAGCATAGTTTGAGAAATTGATTGTGGTGTTACTGTTAAAGCTGGAATTCCTTGACATGGTGGATGTCAGATAGTTGTCTCAGCCTTATCAATAACATAAAGTTGCCAATATAATCTCTCTACGGAATATTAGGTGTAGTGGAATACTTTAAGTGAAGTTGTCTTTTATTATTGAACTGTTAGGAACCTCCTAGTTCATATGGTCTTGGCGGCTTCATTGGCAACAAATAATGCAAATGACATAGCAATAGGACATTTCCAAAAAGCAAAAATACTGTAAATTGGCTGTTACGTATATATTGACGTTTACATATTGTTAATCAACGTATCTTATAAAGGATTATGTGATCTAGTTTAAAAGGAATATGACCTTTCTGTTCTGATAGTAGCTACTTAAATAGTATTTTCTCTTTGCACCATATTTTACAGCCAAAATGTCGTGTTATTTTCAATAATGTTACCAACCCAGTGTGACAAAGTCCGTAATATAGGCAGGTGCAAATGATTTGTCAAGATATGGGTACCATTTTAGGCAAGGTTTCTATGTTTAGATTTTATTAGACACGATAAGAGCAGATATTTCTGCATAAATATTTGACATGTGTAGAATAATATGATAAAATGTAGGCAAAAGTGGTGAAAAAGTCAGACACCAACCCCCGTACAATAGATATAAGATAGTTCAATAAGACATAATTTAAGAATAAGAATTGCTGTGATGAAAGAATTTTCCACTGATTTCGTAATGGAACGTTATATTTCAAAACATGACATGATAAAGAAGAAAATGAATTTTAAAATCAGAAAGTAACATTGCAAGTACTGATTTGGTAGAATTCAGTAACTCCCAATAAATATGTGTTGTTTTAAATACAATTTAAAAATGAACAGCTGTTTCATTAAAAAGTATTATTTACATGGCCAAAATGTAAACAACTTTGTGGAGGGATCTTTAAAGGCTTCTGGGGCAGAGTCCTAAGGGATTTTGCTTAGTTTTTCTTTTGATAACTCATCTACAGACCAAGACCTTTCTTTGGACACCTCTACCAAGTTTCTACGCCCATCCGTTCTCTCAAATTAGTGGGGAAAAAGAATATTTTATACTTAAATCCAACAAAGGCCCAACGGATCTTTCCTTTCTAGGGCCAACAAATACAAGTTTCCATTGGGCCAATGTTGGCAAGGCGTTAAAATTTCCGCCAACCATTTCCCAACGTTGGGCCAACAATGTGTGCTACTTGGGTAAATGCATTTAAGTACATACCCCTAGTGGAACGTTTTTGCTTATTTATTTTAACCCAATAAACCATTATGAAGTTTGGTGACAGACTTTACAGACATCCTGTATTATAATAATTATTGATAAGTTAGTGGCATATAAC